GTTCAAACTCCTCCCCCAGCTGACTGACTCAATCTGGCTTTTCTCTCAGCCTCTGAATTGCTCTGCGTGGCCTCAAACTAACTCTAGCAATCTGTTCTAATCTTCTGGCTCCTTCTCCTTCTCTGGATCTTTCTGTCTTTATCTGTGTCTAGCTTGTTCTCTCTTCAATCTGTCTCTGTGAAACTCTCCTGTAACCCTGCCTCCTCCCTCTCTGCTGCTCAACTCTCCCTCTCTCCTGTTCAGTCTCCAGGAACTCCTCTGTATTCTGGTCCTGTCCTCTCTTCTCCTGTACTGTCTGTCTCTCCCTTAAGTAGCTTCCCTTTCCTCGCTCTCTTTGAGAGTTGGGCAGATCCTATTCTGTCAAATCTTTCTGATTCATCACTTTTTTCTGGCCCTCAGTTCAAACATAGGTGCTTCCTTCTACAAACTAACTTTATCTTCACTGTTTGGGACTGAAGGTCCATACTAAGGGCGCATCTGTATTCTAGCCAGAGGGATTAAAGGTGTGTGCTAAGGGCGGAAACACACCCCAACAATAAACAGGTTAAAATACCAATGATCAATAAAATAAACAATTATGGAGTAAGCTCAGGTACTAGCTTGTACTACCAAGGTAATATACCCCCAGCCCTTGAAATGTTGAGACAGGGTCTCAGTGTGTAGCTCAGCCTGGCCTTGAACTGCCTCAGTAGGATCCTCCAGCCTCCACCCCACCCCCAAATGCTGGGACTACAAATGAGTATGCTATCATGCTGCGTGCATGTGCGTGTGAGCGTTCCAATGGATGTTCAAGGATCCTCTCGCCTCTCTGTTACCAGTCTAGTTGACTCACACCTCCAACCCCTAGTCCCCACATCCAGGACAAGAGTACCTTACCTAGCCTATCTTCACAGCCACTAGTGTCAGGTGGCGTGGGGGAAGACACTTGGGCCTGGGAGGTATGGCTACATCGTATAAGTGACTGCACCTCTGTTTACCTAAATACTCAAATTGCTGGTTGTAAAGATTGCTTGAGCAATATTTACATTCCTGTAGTCGAGGACCAGATTTGGACGGAAGGGTTGACTCATATTTGAAAATGAGCAAAAGGCTGCAGTCCTTTCAGGGTAAAAAATCTGCCCTTTTCTAGAGTGATTCACCAAGACTAGCTGCAGAGGTGACCCTGGTGTAAGGAGTCTCGGGACCACATGCTGCAGTGGGGAGCAGAGGCAGATCTCTGAATTCAAGTCGAGCCTGGTCTTCATAGTGAATCCTTGTCTCACAAAAACAAACCAACAAAACCCCCACGTGGTGTGGCTTCCCTGTAATCTTAGCACTGGGGAAGTAGAAGCAAAAAGATCAAAAGTTCAAAGCTGGGACTGGAGAAATGACTCAGGAGGTTAAGAACATTGTTAATCTTCCAAAGGACATAGGTTTGTTTGGTTTTTTGTTTTTGGTTTTTGTTTGTTTGTTTGGTTGGTTGGTTTTTTGTTTTTTCGAGACAGGGTTTCTCTGTGTAGCCCTGGGTGTCCTGGAACTCACTCTGTAGACCAGGCTAGCCTCGAACTCAGCATAAATCTCTTTTTTAAAAGTTATATAAATAAAACTCTACAGGATATATTTAAAAATAGTTCAAAGTTATCCTTTGCATTGAGTTTATAGCCAGCCTGGGCAATAAAAGACCCCTCAAGAAAAAAAAAGGGAAAAAAATCCATCCTGTTTAAAATGTAACATGTAGGCTTATGCCAGACCCCAGTTCTCGTTTGTATCTTTGAATCTCATCTTCTAAGCCCTTATTTATCTCACACCTGAGTCACTTAATAGTAGAGACCATGTCCTGTACCTGAAAAGGACACAGTCCCCTAAAGATCATGAGGGCATGAAGCCCTAAGGAAAACAGCGCCCACAAGAGGCAAACACTGGAGTATATACAATCCAGAACAGAACACTCCATCTCCACCCCGATTATTTTTTTGAGACAGGATTTTATTATATTCTGGCTGGTCTAGAACTTACTATGTAGCCCAGGTTAGTCCCTTAATTGTAGTGAACCTCCTGTCTCATCTCCTCCTGTGCAGCAATTACAGACATGAGCCATTCTGCCTCCTTCTGGCCCCTCCTTGTTGTCTTCAGTCCCTGCAATTGGGAAGTTCTCGGAAAGCCGGGATTCTCTGTCTAGGACTGTACTGACTCTGTACCCAAGGCGATGGACTGAAGCCAACAACTGTCTGTCTGATCCCGTACTTTAACGGAGGCAGCCAGCCAGCCCAAACCTTCCAAACATTTCTCAATCACAGTGCCACAGGCCAAGTTCTACTCACTCCCAGAGCCGGATCGGACCAAGAATGCAGCCAAATATATCAGAATGAAGATGCTTCGGGCTAGCAGCCAAGCCTCCATGAAAGGCCAAGAGAAGTTCTCTTGACAGCTCTTGTTCCAATTCAGTCTAGCATGGGAGAGCTGGGCCACTTCTGCCTGCACCTGACAAACTTGCAGAAGGCCTACCCTCTATGGAGCTGTACACAAGAGGGAACGGCTGTCTGTGAGCCTAGCACCAGGGGGTTGGAGGTGCGGGGAGCAGGAGTTGAAAACCATCAACTAGGACAAGGGCAACCTGGGCTAAATGAGACCCTATCTCAAAACAACAACAAAATGTGCTCAGTGAGTGCTGGCAGAGCCAGCAAGGCAGCTGCCATTTCTCTGCAGTGACCTTGGTGTCCCTAAGTGGTAAAACCAAGTTGAAGGTCTATGTGAAGCTCTGAAGGACAGATAAGGGTCCTGTTTAATGGGGCACAGAGCTTTCTGTTATTGCCCCAAATAGCACACTAAAAGCACATAGTGGGGCAGCAGGTAAAAGTGCTTGCTACACAAGCCTGATGACCTGAGTTGGATCCCCAGAGTTTACAGAAGGGAAGAACTCCCAGAAGTTGTCCTCTGACTTCTGCAGCAATTCTCACTCTCTCACACACACAAAATAAAAAGTAGGAATAGATAGGTGTGGTGGCACACACCTTTAATACCAGCACTCTGGAAGCAGAGGCTGGCAGATCTCTGTGAGTTCAAGGACAGCCTGTTCTACTTAGCCAAGTACTAAGACCCAGTATCAAAATAAACAGGCTGGAGCTGGGCGGTGGTGGCGAACGCCTTTAATCCCAGCACTTGGGAGGCAGAGACAGGCGGAATTCTGAGTTCGAGACCAACCTGGTCTATAGAGTGAGTTCAGAACAGCCAGAGATAAAGAGAAAGAAACCCCGTCTCAAAAAAAACAAAAGCCAGGCTGGAGAGAAGGCTCAGTGGTTAAGAGCACTTGTTGTGTTCGCAGAAGGCCTCTTTTCCCAGCACCTGCATGGTGGTTCACTAGTAACTTAGTTTCAGGAAATCGTGTCTGCTCTGTTCTGACCTCTGCAGGCACCAGGCACAGGTGAGCACTTATATATGCAGGCAAAACACTCAGACCCATACAAATACAAATTAAACAAATTGTAATAAAAATAAAAAGCATGACTTTGAATTCCAGGCAGGTGTTACTACATCTCATGGCTTTTAAAACACATGGCAGTCTGGCCAGGAGTGGAGCTTCTTTCTAGGGCAAGGCCCCAGGGTTTAATCTATAGCAACACACAGAGTATATGTACTAAGTTAGCAACAGAGTAGTTTTACATTAATTGAGTGTGGGTGATGCAGGGACTCTCCTCCATGATAGAGCATTCATTATTACTCAAGAGGCCCTGGGTTCGATATCCATTACCAAAAGGAAGAAAAAGAAAAAAGCTGGCCAACGTGGCCCTTGCATCGCCTTTAATAGCAGCAATCAAATCTCTGTGAGTAGATCACGTGATCTACACAAGTACCAGGCCAGAGCTGAAGACCTGTTTCAAAAAAAAAAAAAAAAAAAAAAAAAAAAAAAAAAAAAAACTTTAGCATATGCCAGGCACCAGGTAACGAACTTGGCCGGAGGGGAGAGCTTCCCAGAGACAGACAACCAAAGGATGAGGCCAACGCCAGGGTAGAGGTCAGCAATAGGAGGCCGGGGAGAGGCCACCGGTCCAGCCGCAATGGAAAAGAACAGCCAGCTAAGGTTTCCTCCAAAAGTACTTTCAGAGCCAAGTCTTCAAAGACCAGTCAGGTGGCTCCTACAACTCCTGTACAGTACCGCTTCTAGAAGCCTGAGCCGTGTGGCGTGAGTCAGACTACAGGAAAACAGAAGGGGACAGGAGCCAAGAGAGTGGCCCTCAACTGTTCCAACCCCACTCCCTGGGCCGCGGGAAACTTCTGGAACACACTACAGTCTGCCTCTTTCTCACGGCGACCCTAACTTCTCCTGTGTTAAGGATCACCAAGGCATGGAAACTACTGGAAGAAATTGAAAGCCCTCCAAGCACCAAGCGCTTTGCAAGTGAAGTCAAATCCAGCCCAGTGGTGACACGAAGCTCTGCAAACACCTTTCCCTAGGACCCTCACACCCTGGCAGCCAGGCCGGTGGAGACTTGGTCCCCCTTCTCGATACCACGTTAGCATGACTGGGAACTACTCGCCACAGGAAGGGGGATCTGTCTCTTGAAGGACAGCACTGCCCCAGGTAGCAAGGACCCTTTTCACTCTCTGTGCCTTGGTTTCCCAACCCCAAAACTGCAGTAAGAACAACTGAGCCTCTGCAAATTCCTCCTGGGGGTGATCCGCAGGGGAAGAATGGAGAACGCCCTTGGCTTGTTTGTCAAGTACCCGGGCGTGGCAAGCAGGTGGCCGTAACCGCAGGGTTACCAGTGCGCAGACAGGTGCCCGCGGGCGCTGTGAGCGCTGCCACCCGGGCCAGCTTGGCCAGGCACCTCGCGCGCTGGTGCCTCGGCGTGGCCTCTGTGCGTGCAGTGCCCAACCGGGATAGGCGATCGCAGGCCTGCCTCTCTGCCTACCCGCGGTGTCCTGGTGTCCACGCTGAAGGAGCGAGGGAGCAGCCCTGGCTCGCCCGGAACCGGGGCTTCCTGGAGGCGGAGACGCACCGCCCACCCGCCGCCACTGCTCACCAGTTTCCCGAGCCCACGATGCACACTTTCAGAGGCGCCGCTGCCATGGCCAAGCCGGATCGCTGTTGCACACAGCCTTCCTCCCAGGGTCAAGCCGGATCGTTGCTGCAAGCCGGACCGCTGCTGCAAGCCGGATCGCTGCAACACACACTGTGCCTCTCAGGCCGATTGCTCACCTCCACTGGAACGGCCTAGTATAGCCGCTCCCGGCGAGCCCGCCCCGCCCTCCTATCCGCCAATGGCCACTGCCACCCCGCCTAGGCGCCTAGGGCCACAGCTGACAGCCGGGTGGACCCGCCCCACCACTCCCAAGAACCACTGCGCACGCCTGGTCGGGGCTGGTGGCCTGGTCAGCCTCCGGTGTCGCCCCACCCCTGCCCGAGGAATGTTGGGATGTGTAGTCCACCTCCCTGCGGGGTCCCTTTCAGTTCCAGGCGCGCCACGTGCAGGCCAATGTTATTGCGCTGACTGGAGCTCCGAGCTCCTGCTGCTATGTGTCGCTATCCCAGACAGAACAAGCCCGACCCAACCTATAGAAGTGTCACCTAAGCAGCCGGGCGGTGGTGGCACACACCTTTAATCCCAGCACTTGGGAGGGATTCTGGGATCCACCAGAGACGGGCGGATTTCTGAGTTCGAGGCTAGCCTGGTCTACAGAGTGAGTTCCAGGACAGCCAGGGCTACACAGAGAAACCCTGTCTCGAAATAAACAAAAACAAAAACAAAAAAAAAAACAAACCAAACACTAAGAAGCTTTCACCGGGTGGTGGCGGCGCACGCCTTTAATCCAGCCCTTGGGAGGCAGAGGCAGGTGGATCTCTGAGTCCGCTGGGACAGCTATCACTTAAGGGTGGAGCCCAGACAGCCTAAGTAGTTGACTGTGAATTCACCCAGATTTGGGCTCGGAGCCTGCGCCTGCTTTAACTTTAACAACGGCTGCCAAATTCGTATAAACAGGACAGGTCCAGACACCCATGAATTTCCTAGCGATCTTGGAGTTTTAATCGAATGTCTTTTGCCTTTGATCTGGCAGTATCTGCTCTACAAGTGTGACCTCGTAGTTCAGTTGGTAGAGGGCTAGATTGAACACAGGACGTTCAGTTCTGCGTGAATGATGGCTCTGGCCTGTAATCACAGCACCTGGGAGACAGAGGAAGGAGAATCTGAAGTCCCTGGTTATCCTTGGCCGCATAAAAATGGAAGGCCACCTTGTCGCCTTGTCTCAAACAAGCAAGCACCCTTGCATTTCAGGAGGGAAAACTTGTCTACACAGGGACAAAACAGAAACTTGAACTGTCCTCTCATATAGTTACTGATAGGGCAGGACATGCCCCTTTTCTGTCTCTGCCAGAGCTTCACTGACCTCTGCTCACAAAATGTCCATCCAAGCTGTTGTACTGCTGGTGGGCATGCCGAGGCTACAGAAAACAGTGATGGTGGAATGTGTTGTAATCTCAGCGCCCAGGAGGTAGAGTCAGGAGGATCGGCGGTTCAAAGTCATCCTTAGCTACACAGTGAGTTTGAGGCCTACCTGGGTCACATGAGACCCCATCACAAAGCAAGAATAGGGAGGGCGGGCTAGTTTAGCAAGGAAATGTGTAACCCTAACAACTGTCATTGTAACAACCGAGGTCAGATCTTCAGAGCCCAGGGAGGAGGGAAAGAATCAACTCTCAGCAGTTGCCCTCAGACCTTACCGGTGCTGTTTCTTTTTTTTTTATTACTTAAAAAAATGCATATTTATTTTGCTTTCTGACTCTGTGCTTGTGCCTTCAACACTTTCACAGTGATTTTCTGCTCCTCAATAAGGAAAGCCCGCTTGATCCTGTCGCGGACACACTTGGCACACACGGAATCACCATAGGCCCTGCTGACGTGCTTCTTTATCTTAGACAATCTCATGAGGACTTTGGGTCTCACAGCACGAACCCCTCGAAGTCTGCCTGGGCACACACCACATGCAGATTTAGGGGCCTTCCCAACCTTCTTGGTGTAAAGGTAAACTATCCTGTTGCCAGAGGTTCGAGACATCCTGGTTTTGTTAGAGGCTGTGTTGTAGGAAAGCCTAAGACGGTATGTCAAACGCTGGACCATCTTGAGTGCCTCTAAGTACTGTCCCCGGAAGAGCAACCTGTGCTGTTTCTCTTCTCTTCTCTTCTCTTCTCTTCTCTTCTCTTCTCTTCTCTTCTCTTCTCTTCTCTTCTCTTCTTTCTTTTCTTTTCTTTTTTTTTTTTTTTTTGGTTTTTTGAGGCACAGTTTCTCTGTGTAGCCCTGGCTGTCCTGGAACTCACTCTGTAGACCAGACTGGCCATGTCTCTGCCTCCCAAGTGCTGGGATTAAAGACGTGCACCACCACTGCCCGGGCTACCTGTGCTGTTTCATATAAGTGCCCTCTGCCTCATACAACATAACAACAGTAAGCAAAATCATTTTAATTCATTCGTTTGTTGAGACAGGGTCTCACAATGTAACCCTGGCTGTGTAACCCCGGCTAGTCTGAAACATGCTAAAAGCCAGGCTGGCCTAGAGTTCATTTTAGTACCAGGCTGGCCTCAAACTCGCAAGAGATCTGCCTGCCTCTGCCTCTCACATGCTGAGATTAAAGGCAATTACCTGGATTAAATTCAATTTACTAAATTAATGTTTGGCTTAAAATAAATTTAATTTAAAAGTAGAATAGGTTTATTTTTAGCACCCTGAAGGCAGAGGCAAATTAGTCTCTGTGAGTCATGAGGCCAACCTGGTCTACACAGCAAGTTTCAGGTCAGCCAAGGCCAAACAGTGGGATCATTTCAAAAATCCAAGTCAAACTGTGTGTGGTAAAGTATGCCTTTAATCCCCAAATGAGCAGGTCCCTGTGAGTTGGAGGCCATCCTGATCTGTATAGCCTGACTACACGGTGAGGTTCTGCCCTAAAAACGGGAAAGAAAGAAGGAAGAAAGAAAGAAAAAGAAAGAAAGGAAGGAAGGAAGAAAAGAGAAGAAAAGAAAAATAGAAGAACAAACTTAGAATTCTCAAACTGCTACATGTTAACCTTTAATCCTGAGTCTAGGCAACACCTCCAACCAATTATATCAGAGTCTCCAGGGACCAGGTGGGATGTAAGTTTAGAGTTTTTAAAGTTCAAAGGTTACTTGTGGTGCATAGAGACTGTAATCTCAGTGGCTGGGATGTGGAGGCAGGAAGGTCAGAAGGTCATCTCGGCTGCATAATGAGTTCCAGACCTGCCTGGAGGGGGAAAAGGGGGAACAGGAGACCCTATTCCTCCTCCCACAGCTCCAGTGGTTGAGAAAGGAGCTCTCAGCAAGGTGGCCCTGCATTGAGAAGGGAAGGTTTCTGGGGAGCTGGAGAGTGGACCCACAAATAACTGAAACAGAACAGAGGCCATAGAAGAGGAGGTCTCCCCACTGGGTTCAGGGTGCTTCCCAAACAACTGTGGAGGCCAGCACCATTGGTGACCTAAGTGACCATTTTCTAAGAGATGAAAAGGATTGTCATGGAGAGGAGAAAGCACTGTATGGGCTAGCCTCAGCCCTCCGTGTTGCTCATTTCGGTCCATTTCCTTGTCAGTTCAGGAGTGGGTGTGAGTTTAGCTTCCAGAAGGTGTTGATATAAAGAGACAGCAAAGAAGGGAGATTGGCCCCTGGGACTCAAACTGCAGAGTGGGAAGGGCTCTTCATAAGGTCAGAATTATTAGAAGCATGGCTCTTTCTTTGTTTTTCAGTGGTGTTGGGGTTCCATCCTAGCTAGGCCGTGTGTGTGTGTGTGTGTGTGTGTGTGTGTCTGCCTGTCTGTCTGTGTGTTAGAAGATAGGAGTTCTATCACTTAGCTATGTAGCCATCCCTTTCTTATTTTGTGACAACCTCTTGATAAATCGCTTAGGGCCTTTCATAAACAGCCCACTCTGACCTGGAATTCATGACCCCTCTGTCTCTGTCTCCATGGTGTTAGGGATACAGGCATGTGCTATCATGCCAGGCTCTCAGCCCACTCTAAAGTATTTGCTTATTTTAATTTATTTTCTGGCTTTGGTGTTTGTGTGCATGTGGGTATGTGCATGTGTGTGCCCTTGTGCATGTGCACGTACAGGCCTGAGGTTGTTATTAGGTGCCTTCCTCTCTCCATCTCTAGGTTTTGAGACAAAGTCTTTCACTTAACCTGGAGTTTGATCAGGCTCGCTGGCTGGTAAGGAACTTCCTGCCTCGAACTCCAAAGCACAGGGACTACAGACTCATGCTGTGGCCTTTGGCTTTTTAAGTGGCTGTGGGGGATCTGAACTTGTGTCCTCAGGTTTGCAGAGCAAGCACTTTACCAACTGAGCCATTGCCCTAGCAGTATTTTTCCCCCTTTAAGGTTTATATTATTCTCATGTCTATGTCTATGTGTGTGTGTATATACTTCATTCGCATGCAGTATCCATGAAAACCAGAAGAGGGCGACAGATCCCCTGGAGCTGGAGTTATAGGTGGTTGTGGGCCTACAGACATGGGCACAGGAAACTAACTATCCTGTGAAAGAGCAGCAAGTGCTCTTAGCTGCTGAGCACCTGTCCAACCCCTTGACTTTTATTGATTGATTGATTGATTGACTGACTGACAAGGTCTCACTATGAAGCTTTGATGCACTCTCAGTGCTGCAAGCCCACCACCGCTTTTTGCCATAGTGTGTTTCCCCCATCCCCATAGTACAGCCTCTGAGGTATGATCTCCGTTCTTGGTACAGCAGGCTACATGTGGAATTGGCCATCTTCAATATCGCTCTTGACAGTCCAATGAGCAATTACATACTTTTTGGCCGAAGCGACAATGCCTAGAAACATCTAAAGAGCTTTTATCTCTCTTCATGAGGGAAATACAGACGCAATGGATGAAAGGTAGCTTTGTCAACGCACGAGAACCAAATAGAGCTTTGGACACTTAACAGGAGAGTGTGTCAACTCTCGTTTGCAGACATCAAGATTCATTAAGTTATCAAAGTGGTTTGTGTCTCGGGTTTTATCCATTAACACGAGAGGGAGATTTAAAATACAAAGCTAATATTTCATATCTTGAGGCTGAAGACATGACTAGGAGGGTTAAGTGTCTGATGCACAAGAATCTGGACCTGAGTTCAGATCCCTACAACCTGTGAAAGATGAGGCACAACTGTCAGGTGCACCTGTGCCCCAGCGTTGGGGGATAGAGCAGGCTTGCTCAATGGCCTGTACCCCAGCGTTGAGGATAGAGCAGGCTAGGTCAGTGGCCACTCTAGCCAAATCAGTGAGCTCATGTT